GTTTGCCTAATGAATTTTAAAGATTTGCATTTTCTATGAATTCAATACAAAAGTAGTTGGAACTTCGTAACCAAATCCAAATATTCGACACAACAGTTGAAAATCTTCAATGAATAAATAAAAGTCAGCCCATAAAAATTTGGCACTCGATTGATCTTAAAGTTGGCACCCATATGTGTTAAACCATCTCCAAACAACGGCACTGTCTTATTACGAAATGTCCAAAGGAAAATTCAATAATACGATTATCGCTATGAAATCGAATATAATTCGAGCAAATGATGGTGATTTGACTACACAAAAATCAAAGGCAAAAATGAAAATACTTCTTTGATTTAGAAAAGAATAAAAAAAAGAAAGTTTGCGTAAAAAAACCGCTTGCGTTATTCGGAAATTTATTATGCTTTGTAATGGAGAGTCCTATTCGTCGATGAAACGAAGATACTGTTACAATTAGTGAAGCCGGAGCATAAAAAAGCGAGAAAAACATCAAGGACATTTAACGCTGAACACTTTTTTCTTCGCTCTGTACCACTCGTAAACGATAGAATTGCTGCATTCAATTTATACGTAAGTACTGGAGGAGCTCTTCAATGTGCATGAGATTTCTCTTTTGAATTCGGCTTGATTGTTTATAAAATGTTCCCACGTAGACACATTGCTACGTCAACGGCATCTCGAATTTATTGCGATCATCGTTAATGCTGGTATGTTGCGAGAGCAAGCAAGCAAGGACGAGAGTGGGAGAGATTTAGGGCAAGAACATTCACCTTAAATCGACAATTGCGATGTTTCTTTGATTGCATCGGATTTATCATTTCTACCACTTCATCCTATTTACACATTCAGTTGTTTTACAAGAACATCAGCAACGGCAACAGCATGGAATTGTCGAACAACGAACTCTACCTGGTTAATATGATTCCAATTGGAATACGTATCAACTACCAATACATTCTAATAAATTGATGTTCTCATTGTTTTCTATTTTTTTCTTCGCTTTCTCTCTTTCTCTATCTCTCTCGCTTGCCCTGTTCTACTCCTTCTTTATTCGCGATTATAGTATCTTTTTCGCTCGTTTTCAATGTGATATTGTGCACTTCACTCAATCTATACACAACTTCATATGCTGGTTCCAACTTCGAAAAACGATGTTTTGGTATAAGATTTCTGCTTTTGTTTGTGTTTTTTCTTCTCTCGCATACTCTTTTCTTTTCGTCTTTCATACTTTTTTCTCATATGCAAAGATGGTTTGCATCTATTTTATGTGTATGTATATTTGGTTCAAAAATGTATAGTCTTCAGTTCGAAATGTTTATGTGTACACATTGAAATTTGTATCAATCAACGACGGAAAATCTCTATGATCTTTGGCAATATTTGCATAAATACAACGTAACGGATGGTTGATGGAGCCAGAGAAAACGGTATTTTTCATTCCAATAGAAAGAAGCGAGAGAGAAAGAGAGAGAGAGAGAGAGAGAGAGAGAGGGAAACAGAAAAAGTGATGAAGACGGAAAAACTACGTGCGCTTTTTTAAAAAAAGAAAGCAGAGAAAAAAACGATTTCGACTTATAACAAAAGCACCACACCAAGACTCGACAATCGATGTGAAAAGCGTGAGCATGAAATGATTGCCGATTGTCGACTAGGGCAATTTTTCGTACGCTCTCAAAACCGATGCGAATTTGCAACGACAAATGAAAATCTACATACTTCTCTCTCTCTTTAATACATACATTCGTTTTATACCAGTGGAAAATAACCACTTTCACCTTGGATATAAAAACGTATCAAACGTTTGCCTCATGACGATTGATGGCACGAACACACATACGCTAGCCTGCTAAATGTACGCAGAGTACAGACGCTAACAACAATTTGGATGTAAGTATGTTTGAGCATGAATTATACGGTATTGTGATAAGAGTATGGGTGAAATTTAATGCGAATGGTATTTTGGGGCTATTCGATGGAATTGCGAAGTTTGGAAACGAAACAAGAACGATTCGAATAACGAAAGTAAATTAAATAATACAAACAAACTGAACGAAAGCAAAAAGAAATTTTTTACAAACAAATTATCCGACTGTAAACTGTTTCATCGATCAACATTATAAAGTGATTTTTTTTGTATATGTGGATTGTTCGTCTTTCAGAATCATGCGATGATTTTTCCAACCCAGTATAAATGCAAAAAAAGAGAATTCATGGAAAAAACAAGGAAAATAAGGGACAGCATTGAGTTTTCTAGAAAGAGCCAGGTTTTCAAGTGAAAAAAAAATGAAGTTCAGATGCAGAGAGGAAGGGGAGTATAAATTGGTGTGTATGTGTAACAATGATTTAGAGCTAAATCAAAATCCACTTTCGCATATCAAATGGAATGATAAGAACATGGCGCAAAAATTGCCACCACAATGATACAAATTGATTGTAAAAACTCACCACGGAATTATGAGTTTGTGAGGCTTGAGCATCTAGATGCATACCGATCACAAAGTTAAAATGTTTTGTTGCGATATTGCAATCATGCAAAATGCGAGACATATAAATAGGATGCTTCAATCGTAATGCCATACACCTTCAAGTGGCAGTACAAATGGGTGTAAGCCACTTAGGCAACAAAAGTGAATACAACATTTTCTTTACAAATGACAAATTCGATGTTAAGTTAAAATTCACTTAACATTGCAAGGCGAAAATAATATGCGAATGTAAAACACAGAAAAACAAACGAGTAAGTCAGCCAATCAAAACACATACACACATCATTTGCAATGCATTTGTAAACCCCACTCATTCATATTTGTTCAATTTTGAAAACAATTTCAAAGTGGATATAAAATTGCAGAGCGCCTATTGAATAGAAAAATTCTCTTTCCATGCCATTTCTTTTTCCCATCACAATATATGTTCCACAGATGAAGTAAATGAAATGTCACATCGCGTACAGAAAATGCAATGTAATTGTGTACGTTTGTGCGACGGTGATCAAAATTTTCCCGTGTCTACTTGATGTCATTTACAAAATAGAGTACAACAACGCTTGAATGCAGCAGCAGCAACAACAACAAAAATATGCACTGAATTTCGTTTTAATTTCAAGTTTCCAGCTCGAAATACACCGATGCACACCGACTAAACGTTAAAAAAGTATATATATTTTTGCCATTTTCTAAAATGTCGAAAATGGGGTGTAGACTAGAATGCAAAACGGAGACACAGAAGAAAAAGGTATTGCACAATAACGAATGCAATAACAAATAAAGTGCAAAAAAGAGAAGTGCATTCAACGCGTGCACCTCATACAATTTAGTCGAATGTAAGGCTTGCATAAAATGTAGAATGCAATGACTGACGGTATTCGGGCCAAAGAAGGATAGACCTGACAAAAAGAACAAATACAATTGCCGAAGAACAAAAGAGAAGAGATTTACTCTGTATATTTCAAACAAACAAAAATTTGTGAAGAAAAAAATGCGATTTATTTTCTTAAAAAAAAAAAAAAATTATGTAGAAACGTAGTTGATACATTGTAATTCAAACAATGATGGATTTCATTTCAAAATGCAAATGGCATTATTTGTAAAATGAATCAAATTGTTTGACTAAATTAAATTTCATATAGAAATAGTATGTATTGTAGGAAATGTGAAAGTTGGCATTTGATGCGAAATTGGATGACAAACAAATTGTTGAATGGAAAACGCCATGAAATGTACACCAAAAATCATCCAATTCTCTAATTCATTAATCTAATAATGCTGAGGAATAAGATTAATTGCAAAATATAAATTACAAAAAGCTAATGAATAGCCATCAAATGTAAAGCTGAAAATGAAACGGTGCACGAAAATTCCACTGAACCGCGCATCACGCTACAAATTAATTTACTGTGCATTGTTGAATGCAAATCAAAATGAGGACGTGATCAAATGGATTTGAATGCGAAGGGAAATGCATTACGGCGTCATCTCTTGGAATCGTATGCGAATGTTAGCAAAGCCACAAACCATTTATGGAAAATACCATCGTTTCAAACCCATCGGTCGTGGTGTTCAAGTGTTTGTTTTTTTCTGCGCCTCACTAGTTAGGCTGCAGTCTTTGCTCCACAAAAAAGCTTTTGTCACTGTTTGAATGTTTTTCCACTTTTGCGGAAAATCGATATCCGTAAAATGCCAACGGTGACTGACAGTTGGACTATTGTCAATTTTCTACATTGATTTTAATATCGCGGCTAATAATAATACACGTAGCAATATTTTGTGACCAATTTTAACGCAACCAATGTGTATGGTTGCAAATGCATAAATTTTCATTGAAAAATATCCAAACGATAATATCAAAATGGTAATTATATTCTCAATTTAAAAATTTCAAGAACAAAACCAAGCATACATTTTTCCATAATATATTTCAAACTAATTGGTTTTTTTCAGTCTGGAGACGATGAAATTGGAAGCGGCAATATTTTAACAAACAACAATATGGATGTGATTTTCCTCGGTCAAAATTCAAACAATAATTGTTCAACGGCAACGCAAGGGATAGCGGCCACAACAAACAGAGATACAACAACCAACAACCGATTTCCAAATAAGTACAATAATTCGTGTAAAACTCTACAACGCAAGTTAGAGCTGAAAGTGGAACGTGCCAAAAAGAATTACTCACAACAGAATGGAAGTGATGTAGTTAATGTAAGATAATAATTCGAAATGTTCAGCAAAATATTTGATTCAAAATTCATTCTTCTTGAAAATAGGATACAAAATGTAACAACGCATCGTTGATACCAATAAATCGACTTCCAATACCTGGTTATACCCTTCCACTTGTTGAATACAAATCCGATCATAGGTAATAAATAATTTTCAATCACATTACATCCAAATTTGTACGACATATCCCCGAAATAATCGTTCATTTCGTTTGTTTAACTGTTGTGGAATCACTAAAGTGATAGTGAAGATGAGGAATTTACGTCGCCATTTTTTCCGACCAAAACAAAAGCCATCAAAAAACTTGATCTGAGTGATACGTTTAGCATACAAGAAATGACCATTGAGAGTGACGATTCAGACGGTGAAAGCGGTGATTCACAAAATTTGGAACTATTACCACCTAGTGTTCGCATCAAGTTCATCGATAAAATCATAAATTACTTTTGTTGTTCGTCACCCTGAGTGATCAATGCAACGCATTCCTGGTTACCATTCAAATATCAAACGCCTTTTTTCCCAAATTATACAGCGAATCCGATAGGAAAGCCATGTGCAAAGACTGTTTTTAAACGAATTCAACAATGGAAAAATGAGAAAATCAAACAAATAATGCCCATTAATTCTATTAGTGTGTGTGTGTGTGTATGCGTGTGTGTGTGAACACATTTTTTTATAAGATGATATACTTACAATGTCGATACCCTTTTGATGAAATAAAATAGAAATTTGAGAGAAGAAAAAAAAATGCAGAATATTATATGTGTTTGTCATCAAACGAACGAATGTGTACGTTTGGACGGGTGCTCAATTTTATTAGTTACAGATAAAAGGTACAAAAATGCATTTTGTTGATTAACGAAAGCAGTCTATGTATTTCGGATGGATATCCAACGATAGACTGAACGAAAGAGAAAAAAACGTCTGATATCAAATGGTTCAACGACTTGCGGTCATCAGACACCAGACAGCAACAGCTCAACAAAATAATAATACATCAAAATTTGTTTAAATTCTCCTTTTATTTAAAAACTTTTTAACTATTTTGCTTTTTTACGTCTCTCTATTTATCTTCCAGCTATCAATTCAACAAAAATATATATAGTATATATATTCGAGTAATAAAATTACGTTTTACAAATTATCGAGAAATAAAGTTACATCAAATAAAATTTAAAAAAAAAATCTTGAATGAATGATGAAACCCAACTAACGTAGCCAACATTTTCTTCTTCTTTGTTTTAATTTTTAAACAGAACATAAAAACACATTTTTTAACATAAGACTTACTTACTTTTCCCTACTTTTTTTTGTTCTTTCCCAATAATTTCGATATTGTTTTCTTTAAAGAAAAACATAAAATGCTCTTCCATTTTTTTTTTGATTCATAATTTTTCGTTTCAATTTGACCGCAATTACTATTTTAAAAAAAATACAAATTCAAAATGATTTTATTGGTTAAAATAATAATAGTTAAATAATATAATTAGTTTGCTTTTTAAAGTTCTCGTTTTGTTTCGATACAGAGTTTACTAAAAATTGTAAAAATTAAAACGACCCACTTCTTCGGATTTGATATGAAAAAGTGTTGCCTGAAATGGCTGAAGTTGAAATAGCCTTCCATACTATTTTCATTGTATCAAAATGACATTTTCGCCAAAGAAATCATTTTCGCAAACACATTTTACTTCTTCAATACCTAAATGTGAAGGTGACAATGATATTCCCAAATTCTAATTTATAATAATTTAGCAAAATATAATCTACACTTCATCAAATTAATGCCAAAAATGATTGTATTTGAAATGTACCATTGAAATTGTTGCCAACATTGTTTTATGTTATTTTCACAACATTTTTGAGACATTGCTCTAATCATTTTCATTTATTTGCCTTTTTATCATTTCAATCCTTAAAAAAATCTTCGATTTTCAGTTTGTCTTTGAAGCATTAATTGTACTGTCAACAGCAATTAAAGTTTGAAAAAAATTCGGTTGTAGAACTCTTCATTTCGTCGTCTGATCGTGATCACTTCATTTTAGTAGTCCTAATATTTTTTAATTTTTTCTAATGTAAAAAATCTTGAAATGTTTCAAATAATCGTTCAAAAGAAATGTCACAAAACGTCTATCTATTCAATGATTCGGATTTGATCAATTATACATTGTTAATAGACACAGAATATTAACATTCAAAATGTAATTTTTTAGGAATATATTCCCCACGCACTTTCGTTTCCGCTTGAATATGTATTTGAATGTGCATATTAGTTCGGACATTTTTCGCCGTTTTCTACATGCTGGTTTTGAAATTTAAATCCTCTTCAAAAAAAAATGTTTTTTTGTCATTGAACATACAGATTTAGCACATGATATATTCATATCTCCAGTGTATTTTATTGAGGTTACGGAATGCAAAAACCACACATAAATATTTATTTTGACTGGTTTTGCGTTTCCGATGCCATATTATTGTATATTATACGCATTAAATATGGTGCAATCGCTTTTCGAATGTAGTTTTTTGAGATATTTGTGCAAATGTGCTTATGTTGGATGTGTATGAATATGTGGCC